ACGGGACAGTCAACCAGGAGACCGGTGAGAGAGACACACACTAAGACGCTGCTCTGCTAGAAGGCCGATTGCATCGAGACAGGCTTGGTCTCTTGTAGACGTACCCGATGCCCATGCAGTGAGTACATACATGGGGGGTTCGTGCACCCGCGACACAAGCCGAAACCCGGATCATGTTCTTGTCACCGGTTCAAGATCGAACACCACCACCGCCTCAACTTCCAACCCGTGTTTAACCTCAATACAGGGAGCCCCGTGGGGCATCACTCCGAACGAAGTTCGCGATGTTATCCGTCGAGTTAAAGGCCTCCTTCCGGAGGTGTTGCGGGAGGGAGAGGTGGGGTCGGGGGATGGTTACGGTGGCGGCGGGGGGCAAGGGCAACACGGCCCGGAGGCCCGTTTGTGGCAGATAGACTTGCCGGCGTTCATCGAGCGCTGCATGTCGTCTTCGATTAACGATCTACAAGCCCTGCCATTCATCAACGATCTGTTCAAGGTGCGCTGTTCGTGTTGTAGGGCTGACGTCATAACGGTCTCGTGCCACCGCAAGGTAGTTTGTGAGTAGGTCACCTACAACAGCAGCGCAGAAGGACCGCTCATGGATCGATTTGTTTGAAAGTCGGGCGAATTTCTTCCCTCGAAAAGAGGCACACGGTGCGGCGCTATGTAAGCTATTGTTGTGTGCACGGAGCAGGATTCTCATTGGCCTCGACACTTATGCTTGCCTACCCCCCCCCAACATACACACGACCCTCCGCCTTCTCTGCACCGCAGCTAGTACTCGAGATCATCGCGGTGCGCTTGTGGAAACCGGCACCGATGCCGCGGCACCTGCTGCAGACGATGTCAAGGCTGGGGCACGGTGATCGCCGGTGCACGTGGTACTACGCCAGCTACGGCCGTTCAAGCGGCACCCATGATGGACCGGCGTTATCACCAGGAGCGGGCGGAGGCGGGGGCGGGGGCGGGGGCGGGGGCGGTGGCGGTGGCGGTGGCAGCGGTAGCGGTACCGGCGGGGTCTCGGAGGAAGAGTTTGTGTTCGTGGAGAGGAAGCCAGAGTGGGACAAGGTGTACGTGCAGCAGACGAGAGGGGGCATCCGAGCCGGCTTCCAGTCCGTGAGTCCCCCTCCACTTTGTGGTTGTGAGATAGTACGGCTGTTCCGGTACAACTGGAGGGTTAGGCGGTTCCTCTCTCCTTACGGGCCGGGCCGTCACGGCGGAAACCGCTTTCGAGGATGCAGGAGGCAGCCGTCCGCAACCGCGTCGCCAAGTGCTGTTCTCACCTTTCTTGGGCGTGCCGAACCGGATCGACCTGTGACGCCTGAACTGAACCACCCGCTTTTGGAGTGTTTGTTTCGTGTGGGTGGTGTAGAAGTCGCTCATGGTGGTCCGGCGCACGCTTGCGTATCACAGTCTCAGCTCTTGTCGCCCCTCCCGCGCGCCTCTGTTCTCGTATCACAGGACGCGAGCCGGCTGTACGTGGCGAACATGAACCACTTCGGCCGGGCGGGCGGATACGCCGCAATCCTGTCCAGGATCGATCCCAGCAGAGCTGCGGGCCCAGTGTCGATCGAGGAGTTCATGACGTACACCGGTTTCTTGGCGGTGGCGCCAAAGTGCTTCGCGTCGTTCTCGAAGGACAATCTGTAAGACGTTGCCGGCTCTCCCAGAGGGATACCTTAACCTTTGCTTGCGTTTTCATCGCTATCTGTTCCCAGTATCCCGCTGTTGTCCAACCGGCGTAGCGACGGTGGGTTGGGGTCTGGCCAAGTCGCGCGGGTGGTGATTGTCTACAATAGGACCTCTCTCTAGATCATCCCGTGCTGCTGCTGTGTTTTTGAACGTGTTGTGTTTGTCTGTCACGACAGGTACTTCGAGGACGTTAGGCGAGGCGTTATGGCGCGTCTTGGGCGACTGTCAAATGACGAGCTCGCCACCGAAGAAGAGGCGGTGATGGCGATCATGAGCTCCCTCGCAGTCGTAATGTCGGCCATAGACACGAAGTTCAATGTAGGTGTAGCAGCAGATTACGCTGTTTTTTTCATGTATTTTGGTTGTTGTAACTGACGTGTATGTACACACGTGTGTTTTGATTGTTTCGATCGAGGCCGTCCGTGTCTTGTGTTGCGTTCGTCTCGGATAGAGTCGCGAAGTTCTTCCGTGTTGCCCAGCGTGATATGAGGAAGCATGTTCGTTGACTTCTTGGTTGCTCAACTCAATCTCTGCGACTACATACCCCTGCCGTACTTTCTCACGCCTTGCAGCGCGTGCGGCGTACACTTCTGTACGTCGGGTCGTTTCATTCCTATGCTCTTGCTCTAGCCTGAGCACTTGACGCCAAACACCGGCCGCGTACGCCATACGGTAGGGCATGTTGTACGGTGAGCGCGGCTTTCCCCCATCTCCGCCCGCTCACTTGCCGCGTACCACCCGCCACCCTCTCTGGCTTTGTGTGCGTGGCCCCCCTGGAGCTTGCGCGACACGAGTGACTGACATCCGCCCCCTCTTGTTTGCTCGAGGTTTGCCTTTTTCGCCTCTGTTACCCCTGAACTCATGCGTAACTAGTCAGCTTTCTTTGCCCCGCCGATGCCGACGCACCCACCGTCTTGTGGCCGTCCCTGCTCCTAATGGGGTCCTGTCCTGTCCCGTCCTGTCCTGTCCTGTCCTGTCCTGTCCTGTCCTGTCCTGTCCTCTTTGGCGTGTGTGTGTTTTGTCTCTTCTTCTTTTTTTCGTCGAGAGCAGCGGACGGAGAACTTGGAGCGCTTCCACGTGATGTTCGCGATTCAGCTGATCCGGTGCCCTTTCCTTAACCCAAGAATCAGGGGCGTGAGCGTTCTCAGCGACATCATCGAGGTCACCATCAGGAACGCGACGAGGTGATGGGTGGATGAATGCATGGATGGATGCACCGGTCGGCGGTGGAGAGCGACGCCACACACGCGCCCTTTTTCTCGCCATTTCACGATTGGTCGGTGCTCGTTGCTCGAAACGCAATACCTAGCAGTTCTTGTGAACGCTACAATGTAGACGTTGAACTTGCCTTGTCTTTATGAGTGACGCTTGCCAGGGGGTCGTAGGAGTTGTGAATGTTGCATGACCTGGACTTGGAGGTCGCGGAAGAGGCGCCATTTCCCGCTGCGCACGACGTGCCGGTAGAAGGAGTGCGTCCTTGGTCACTGCAACCGCGGCGATCAGGCACGAGTTGTCACAACTCACAAGCCAAGTTCAACGTCTAGCGTTCACGAGATTGAAAATTGACAGAATATATTCCACAACGGGCACGCAAACTTCGGCGGTTCTCTAGATTATCATTTGTTTGTCCGCAATTTGGGAGACGAATAGCAACATTCCTGGGAGGGGACAAGACAAAAAATCCCCGGGTGGGAGAATCAACAACTATTAGAATATGAAGTGAATTTTGTTCGACCGAGGGAACGATTCATTTCTTCCCCTCCCGGGGATCATTCGATGTATGCCCAGGGACACAAAAATCAATTTTAAACTTTCGATCGAACGAAATTCTCTATTAACTCAGCCGTTCGTGTGAGGCGAGCGCTCTGTACGTGGTTGCTGTCCCGGTAATCCGTTCCTTTCTGACTACTAGGTTGACTCGAGCCTCGATACCAATGAAAAACAACCAAGAACAGTTGAAAAGCAAAATCCCTGGCAAGGCTTGCGGCATTCACGAGGCGTTGCGATCATCAGCGAACCTGGCAGGCGTTGGCGCCACATTACTTACAACCGCCCAGTACTCAACCCGCGAACATCCTGCGATACACAACCAAATCCGCAGTATTTGGGTTCTTCTGAGAATATCATGTTTTCGTTTCAGGAACGTGCAGTTGCTATCGACCCTTGAGCTAACAGTATGTCCTTCCCAGATTAGCGGTGGCAGGTGCAAAGCCAAGCTTGGAACAATGTCGTGCGGTTGGCTTCGCACGCTCGGTGCATTCGGACACGTCCCATGACGGCCTGAGGAACTTTTTCTACAGCAGTACATATTACGTCGGCTAAGGGAAAGCAATTTGCAGGTAGCGTGTAAGGACCGCTTCCCAACAGGAACACCTCTGTTGTGAGGGGATCGACCCGGTCAATCAAGAGCCCGAACAGGATGCCTTTCACCTCTATGGTAACTTGAAGCTGTTCAGCGATGCTGCGGTATTTCCGGCCATCGGGGTCTTTGGGTTCGACGGGCGTCGCCAATCATTTATGACTTTTGAGCATAGTCTCCTGCGTACAAGGGCGTCGCCTGATAGCATGTCGGTAGGATGGTAATCGATGTTGCAGAAAACGTGAAGGTGCAGAAAACACGGTCTTTGGGCTGTGAATAACACCGTCTGACCCAAACCGAGCAATGGTTGAGGATAAGGATTGTAGCCCTACACATTCCCTCTTCGGCACATCGTGCTGGCACTGTGTTCAGGGTTAGACTATTCGTAAACCTTGTTGGTTTCACATCCTAGAACGGAGGTATCGCAGACATGTGGACACGCAGACAGCAGCTCCGAAAGAATTCGCCACACGGCCGACCTTGCCTTTGCCCGTCCCTCGAGTTGATCTGGTGCCTGTGTCACCACTAATTTAAGTCGTTGCGGTCGTTTGGAACAGGTTCACGGCGGGGACTGCTTGAATTGAGAAGAACTACGTCGAATAGCTGTGTCGATGTTTTGACTAACCTCTTCCCTACCCTCACCACTAACGCCATTTTCCGTTCTTTTTCGGACGATAGGCTGTCGTGTCTTGTCTATAATAGTATGCGATATTACCTCACTTTTCGAAGCGACATGAAAAATACAATATGGTTGTTCTGTGCGCACGTCAGTTTACGCTCACTCCCACCGTTTTGGTTCGCCGGTCGTTGTTGATTCAGCTCCACAATTCTGGGTTCGAGGCGATGTTTTGTATTCGATCACACATGAGACACACCAGACACCCCACTATCTGCGCCCTCTACCTCCCCGTGTGTGCGTGTTTGTTGTCGAAGGCGTCGGTCTAGGGGGATGGGGGCAATCGGCGGTGGGGGTGGCACCATCACGTACGAGTGGGTGGGGGAGCAGTGGCTAGCGTCGTGGCTGTCGGAAGAGAGAGTCGTGGAGGCGATTCTCGGAGACTCGGCTGGTGTCGGACAGTCCGAGACGGAGGATGCTGCTGCTGCTGCTGCTGCTGCTGCTGCTGCTGCTGCTACTGCTGCCAAACACGGGGATGGGCCACAGGGTGGAAGGAGCAGGGGCGATCACTCCGTGAGTGTTGGTTGTCACGAGACAAGTGCGGGCAGTAGATGGTGGTGCAGGTGACGGACGTTAGTAACGAGGCTCCACGCCAGGCTAGATAGCTAGCTGGGCCGTTCGCTGAATTACAAATGAAGACAGCGGAGGGCTTGTCGTGGTCTGCAGGAGATCAACCGAAGGACGATGATGAAAACGATTCTGTGTATTATGAGACTGATACAGGTACGCGCGTGCGACACTTCACGCTCGTCAGAGGCGGTATCAGCGATGACGATGGCGATGGCTATGGCGATGGCGGTGACTGTCCCATCGGTGACCCTCTTGCGCAACCTTGCCAGGTCATCCGCCATATCCCTGTCACTGATAACGACCGACCGCTGTGATGGTGTTCGTCCTATCAATTCCGACCCCAGTCTGTCATACCGATGTGTTTCGCATATCAGCCGGGGTAACTCAAGGTTTTTTTCTAGTAGTTATTTTATCTGCCCCATCTTTCCTTCTCCATGACAGGAGAAGAAGGGACACGACACTCACGTGGAGGTGCTCAAGAGGGCCGACGGGCTTCTCTGCTTCATGGCGGACCACGATAGGCTGTCGGAGAAACACCTGGATCTGCTCTGGGCGGCGGGGATAGGACAGCCTGACGCCCAGGTATCTACATACATTCATGCGCCCGCCGCTAGTTGCCTACACTTGCACAAGAATGTAGCAAGTACAGACGGCACGCAGTTCGTGTGTTGTTCCACGCAACCTGCCCTACGTGCTACCGGTATATTTTTTTCTTTGTCGGTGCGTGCCGCTGAATCTATCGCCTGCCACGGCAGAGACATGTTACGCTTCCTCGTCCCTTCCTTCACTTCTCTTGTCGTTGAAAATACCCATTTTACTTGTGTTTTGATCCGTTCTGTCGGCGAGAGACAGCATTATTTCTCGTGAACGGGAACCCAAAAGGCTGGTGTTTTATTTTTCTTGTTCTCGCGTTTGCGTCTCCGACGGTTTCGGCTGCGCGCTCCGACAACCGACCCTACTCAGGTGCGAGCGGTGTTCCGGTTGTTCGAACACCTCTGCCCAAGGCTGGACAGGAAGGGTCTCGACGTTCTCTACGGCCACCTTCGAGATATGCCGCCCCAGTACGAGGAGATGCACGTCCAACTCATACATCGCTTCGCGGAGGCCGCCAGCGGGTGGGGCGCGCGCGGGGGGTCTGCGGATAGGGCGAGCACGTCACACGGTGCGAATGAAAAACACGCAGACGTGAAGGGCGTTTAGTCTGCTGTATGAGGATGGGTTCAACAGCGGCAGGGCGAGCCCAGTCACTTTCGCGAAAGGCAACGATGTGCGACGACAAAGTAGTTTGTTCGATGCTTGCAAATACGTTTCGATGCATGGAGTGATGCAGGTGCTGCGCGACCATTGCACCATCTTCTCACACGGCGGTGCTTTGCCCTTTCTCCTGCCCGCGCTCGAGCCTACTTAGCATTTCTTTCCAACGCCATACGTGATGTCAATGTTGCCTACCAGATGCCAACCCGCAGTCCATATTCGGGCGTGGCGGCAACGAGCTGCTGTGGGAATCAGTGCAAGATCATGCACCCGTGACGGCTGAGGTGGCAGACCAGGTGAGCGCCCAGCACACAACAGAGTTGTTGCTGGTACACTGTACACAGATAAGACACGTACGCGCGTACCAGGCAAATACTTCGTTGGTATGTAGTATCTACGAGCCCTTCGTCATTCGCCAAAGCGCTCCCTGTCGTGCGCATTCGCGGGGCGCTTTCCTTTTGATGTAGCTGCCGAATCTTGAAATGAGAGAGGGGGGAGGGAGTAGTAGAACAGTGTGAGGCGAGCAACAGCAGCATATGTAGGCCAATCGTTGGGCCGTGTGCCTTCGTGTTTACAAACGAGAGACACCTGTGGTAAGACTATTTTTCGGGATGAGCTTGATTGATTGGTCTGTTATTGGAACATCTTGGCATGCCACAACGAGACCCTTGCACCTGTGAGCATCGCGAAGGTTACCGCCATGTCGAGCACAGCCTACCTCCTGCGCCCCGTACAGCATGATGGCCGACACGCCCCCCAATAGTACCGGGGTCTTTCGTTAGCAACAAGAACCAAACGTCCACCGCATGGAAAAAGGAGCGCGACTAACGACCAAGGCAAGCTACAGGGGAGTACCCTCCCTCCCCCTCAAGTGCCAACTGCGTACCCCCTTTTTTCGTCTCACAGGCCTCGGAGGCGTTGGCTGTTCTTCTCTGCCACCCATCCGGGGCGGATGGCGGCAACTCATACAGCAACGTTTCGCCCGGCGGACGGTTGCAAGCGGGGATGGGCTACCTTAGTGGCGGGGGCGGTGGTGGTGCCGGGGGCGGGGGTGCGGCTGCTACGGCGGCGGCGAGGGAAGGCGAGATTCACTGGAAGCGGCTCATGTTCTTCTTCGACATGTAAGTGGGAGGAAACGGTTGATTGCGCTCGAAGTACTGCAGGAAGGCGGGAGAGGGAGCGAGACCCAGGGGCCTTTCTTCCCGTTGTGGTCGTTACGTATTTGGTACAAGTACCAGCGGATAGCCGCGATTCTCCCTTTCAAACAAGGGACGGCGAGGTCTTCATTAAGGTACACCGTTACCTGCTACATCTAGGCTATGATTTGATTGCTTGTGTATGCAAGTGACTCAGCAGCGACCTTTACAACGAACACGATACTTCCGTGGTACGCGCACCTCCGCCGCAGGTGCTTAGAGAACGTGGAAGGTGGAAAGAGCGTGGCCCCGAGCCTTCGCCTCATGCAGCGCATCATCGACGCGCAGCCCGAGATCTCGACGAACAACGCCTGGGCGAACGCGGTCGTCGGGGGAGGGACTGCTGGCGGAGGCTTTGGCGGGGGGGAGGGGGTCGGGTCCGCGAGAGGCGCGGGCGGTGCTGGGCGAAAGGACGAGATTTTGGAGACGCTGAACAAGGATCGCAGCCTCCTCAAGCTTCTCGTTGACGTGAGGCGTTCACCCATGCACCCTGAGCTGTAGGTCGTGTCTACAAGCGCATCGTATGTAGGTGCCCGGCTGGGGTCGGGCTGTTTGTTTGTTTTTCGAAGTCCAAGCAAGGGGTGTTGGTGCATAGAGGCGCCGTGCCGTTGTCGTTGGGCTCCTTGGCGCGCCTGTACGCAAGCGGTTGCTGGAAGCATCTGTCTTGTCTCGAACTGTGCTCGTCGGTCGTCACAGGGGTTCATTCTCTAGTGTACCTCCTCCCGTACATGCTTATGCTTGCGGATTCCAATTACTTTTCGAACGGCCCTGGATGGAATTTTCTCTTCGTATGGTCATGAACCTTGCCTCCTAGACACCCCCGACCCCTTCCCATGCGCTGCGGTGAGTACATACCGTTACCCTAGCCCCCACATGTGAACAGAAATATCGATTGAGCACGAAAAAAGAGCAGGTAGCCGTGCATAATGTACCGACGTAATCCTGACAGCGTTAGTGTCGTGCTTGCTCTTGCTCCTCCGGGTGTACACAGGAACTCCTGAGGTACCGAGCGCACGCGCAGACAGCAGTAGCCCAAGAAGTCGGAATCACCGCCGGCCCAGGAGATAGCGGGGGCGGGACTTCGGGCGCGGCGCGCGACCCCCTCTCCCTGAAGCTGCTCGGGGCGCGCCTGCCTCACGGGGAAGCCCTGGAGATCCGACTAGATTTTATCCGATTCGTCGTCTCGAAGTCAAATCTTGAGCTCACCTTCGGGCTTGTAGAGTTGCTCTGGCGAGACTTCCTGCAGAAGCCTCTCTGCGGTGCGTGTGTGTGGTTCTGGTCTGTATTTAAGGGCTCAGCGCTGGAAGGTTTTGGTCTGGCTTGTTGCTGCTGCTGTCTCTTGGTTGTGTGTGTGCGTGTGTGCGATTGTTGTTGGCATCGACCGCGCTAACCGGCTGATCAATGGATTTGAATCAGTCTCATGTGTGTGCGTGCTGTTAGTAGCGGCGATGCCTCGTCTTTTGAGCAATGTACCTAGTTAGCACTCGTCCCGGTAAAACCCCAATCCTGCTTCCTCCTCCCTTGCCGAATACAAACACAACCCACGAGGTAGTGTTGGTGCCTAGTGCTTGTGCACGCCTCACTAGTTCTGCAGCCATCGTGTGCTGTGTCTTGCCTCGCTCTGTGGCATCATTTGTAACGGCTCCGGCGCGGATTTGTTGGTGCGTCTGTCACGATCTGTCCGGCCACAGCGACGGAGACTGAGATTTTCTTCGCGTGGATGCAGCGCACGACGCCGGTCGCCCGAGGCACGTCGTACGGTGTCCAGAGCGACCAGGACTTCTACACCATGTCTTCCACGGTATGTCGGAAGGGAGGG